AGTGTGTAAGGAGACGGGCATGACCTTGACTTTGGTTAAAGTTAGTATTTTTGCACTGGGGTTCAAAGTTGGTATTTGCTCACGGCGGTTCCCGGGTTCACAAAGGAGGACTATACAGAAGGGTAGCAATGACTGTCCTTTGTGGTTCACCATTGACCTTGTGCTGGTCTGTCAGTGTGTAAGGAGATGAGCATGACCTTGACTTTGGTTAAAGTTAGTATTTTCACACTGGGGTTCCTGGGTTCACAGAGGACTATCCAGGAGAGCAGCCAATGACTGGCCATTAGGGTTCTCCATTAACCTTGTGCATGTCCATCAATGTGTAAGGAGACGGGCATGACCTCTGATTTTTGTCAAAGTTGGTATTTGCTCACTGGGGTTCTTGTGTTTACAAAGGACTATTCATAGGAGGAGCCAATGACTGGCCTTTGGGGTTCACATTAACTTTGTGCTGGTCCATCAGTGTGTAAGGAGACGGGCATGACCTCTGACTTTGGTGAAAGTTGGTATTTGCTCACTGGGGTTCTTTGGTTTACAAAGGACTATTCGTAAGAGGAGCCAATGACTGGCTTTTGGGGTTCACCATTGACCTTGTGCAGGTCCATCAGTGTGTAAGGAGAGGGGCATGACCTCTGACTTTGGTCAAAGTTGGTATTTGCTCACTAGGGTTCCCTGGTTCACAAAGGAGGACTATATAGAAGGGAAGCAATGACTGGCCTTTGGGGTTCTCCATTAACCTTGTGCTGGTCCATCAGTGTGTAAGGAGATAAGCATGACTTTGGTTAAAGTTAGTATTTTCACACTGGGGTTCCCGGTTTCACAGAGAGCTATCCAGGAGAGCAGCCAATGACTGGCCATTAAGGTTCTCCATTAACCTTGTGCTGGTCCATCAGTGTGTAAGGAGATGGGCATGACCTCTGATTTCGGTCAAAGTTGGTTTTTGCTCACTGGGGTTCCTGGGTTCACAAAGGAGAACTATACAGAAGGGTAGCAATGACTGGCCTTTGGGGTTCACCATTGACCTTGTGCAGGTCCATCAGTGTGTAAGGAGATGGGCATGACCTCTGATTTTGGTCAAAGTTTGTATTTGCTCACTGGGGTTCCTGGGTTCACAGAGGAGAACTATACAGAAGGGTAGCAATGACTGGCCTTTGTGGTTCAACATTGACCTTGTGCTGATCCATCAGTGTGTAAGGAGATGGAAATGACCTTGTCTTTGGTTAAAGTTGGTATTTGCACACTGGGGTTCCCGGGTTCACAGAGAGCTATCCAGGCAATGACTGTCCTTTGGGGTTCTCCGTTGACCTTGTACTGATCTATCAGTGTGTTTGGGGGGGGGGAGGGGCAAGATCTCTGACTTAAAGTTGGTATTTATTTACAGGGGTTTCTGGGTTCACAGAGGACTATCCAGAAGAGTAACCCATGACTGGCCTTTGGGGTTCTCCATTGACCTTGTGCTGGTCCATCAGTGTATGGAGGCGTGCAGAGTCAGGCTGGCAAGATCTCTGACTTTGCTTAAAGTTGGTATTTGCTCACAGGGGTTGTTGAGTTCACAGAGGACTATCCAGAAGAACAGCCAATGACTGGCCTGTGGGGTTCTCCATTGACCTTTTACTAGTCTATCAGTGTGTTTGGAGACAAGAAAGATCTCTGACTTTAGTTAAAGTTGGTATTTGTTCACCAGGGTTTTTGGGTTCACAGAGGACTATCCAGAAGAGGAGCCAATGACGGACCTTTGGTGTTCTCCACTGACCTTGTGCTGGTCCATCAGTGTGTAAGCTAGTGCGTATGACCTCTGACTTTCGTTAAAGTTGATATTTGTTCACTGTGGTTCCTGGGTTTACAGAAGAGCACTGTCCAACCAATGACTGGCCCTTGCGGTTCTCCATTGACTTTGGTGCTGGTCCATCAGTGTGTAAGGAGGGAGGAGACTGTAGGAGGGTACACAGTGAGGACCTTTTCTTCTAAGTATTGGACCTTGACAGAAGACTTTTTCACTTTGTAGATTGAACTTCAATGCGATTTGAAGCCCATCCTTATCCACCAGGGGTGCAGGAGCCGTACAGGTCATCGCACTGACTAAACCAAGATGGAGGAGAGGAGTCACCTAAATGAGAAGATATTAGACATCACACTGGAGATCATCTGTCTGGTGACTGGAGAGGTGAGGAGGATTCTGGGAGAGTCACGTCACACCACTTGTATTTGTAATAAATGAGCTTTGTGACTCTGCAGGTCATTTTGTTATCTAATCTACAGAATTGTTCAGTTGTGAAGACATCTGGTGAGGTTGTAGCACCTTCTGGGATCAGGAACCGCACTACAGTTCCTCCATCACACCTAGTGGCATATGAGAAAGACAATGACAAGAAGATTCTAGAACTGACCAACAAGATCATTGAGCTTCTGACCAGAGAGGTGAGCGGAGCCAGGAATAATGGGACATTATTCTCGTGTCTACTGAAAAAAAAAAGAAAAAAATTGTCAACGTTTCTCTTGCAGGAGTACTTGAAGGAACAAAACGGTCCCTATAAGGACAATGTGATGGACAATCATCAACCCCTCACATCGTCGGGTAAGGTCAGGTACAACTCTTTCTTTTTCTCTCCCTCTCTTTTCCTTTATCGCCTCCTTCCTTCATCCCTCCTCCTTTTCTCATTATCTCCCTTTCTCCCCTCCTTCTTATCCCTACATCTGGCCATCCATCCTTCCTCCCTCAATTCCTCCTACCTCCATCCTGTCCTCCATCTTCGTTTCCCTTAACCCCTCCTTCTCTTTTTCCATCCCTTTCTTCCTCCCTCTCTCACTTCCTCCCTTGCTCTCTCCCTTTCTACTTTCATTTCCTTCATCACTTACCTTCCTCCATCTCCTTATCCCTTCTCTTTCTCTCACGTACACCCTCTTTTTCATTCCTCCACCTCCTTCTTTTTTTTATCCTACACTCAATTGTTTTCTCCCCTCAATTCCTTCCTCTCACCTCCTCCCTCCCTTGCTCACTTTCTCCCTTCCTATCTCTCTTTCTCCCTCTCTTCCTTTCTGCTTCTCTCACTTCCTCCCTCTATTACTTCCTCCTTCCCTCACTTCCTCCCTTCCTCCAACACTACCTTTCTATTTTACTCACTTCCTCCATCCCTCCCATCCTTACTCCCTTTATCTCTTTCTCAGTTCCTCCCTCACTTTTTTTCTTTTTCACTCACTTCCTCCCCCTCTGCCTTGTTCCTTCACTCACCTTCTCCCCCCCTTTGTTTCTTCCTCTCTCACTTTCTACCTACTTCAATCACTTTCTCCCATCTTTCCTTTTTCACTTGCTTTCTCCCCTCCGTCCTCCTTTCACTTCCTTCCTCCCTCTCTTCCTCGCATTATTCCTCCCTCTCTCATTTCCTTCCTAACTCCTTCCCTCCCTTTCTTCTTTACTCACTTCCTTCCTTTTTCCTTTAATTCACTTTCTTTCTTTCTTTCTTTCTTTCCTTCCTTCCTTCCTTCCTTCCTTCCTTCCTTCCTTCCTTCCTCCTTCCTTCCTTCCTTCCTTCCTTCCTTCCTTCCCTCCCTCCCTCCCTCCCCCTCCCTCCCTCCTCCCTCCTTCCCTTCCCTTCCTTCCCTTCCTTCCCTTCCTTCCTTCCTTTTTCTTCCTTCCCTTTCTCCCTCCCACTCTCTTTCTCCCTCTCCTTCCTTCCTTCCTTCCATCCTTCTTTATCTTCTCTTTTTCCCTCTCACTCCCTCTCCTTCCTTCCTTCCTTCCTTCCTCCCTTCCTTCTCTTTTCCCTTCCTCCCTCCCACTCTCACTCCCTCTCCTTCCTCCCTTCCTTCTCTTTTCCCTTCCTCCCTCCCACTCTCACTCCCTCTCCTTCCTTCTCTTTTCCCTTCCTCCCTCCCACTCTCACTCCATCTCCTTCCTTCCTTCTCTTTTCCCTTCCTCCCTCCCACTCTCACTTCCTCTCCTTCCTTCCTTAATGCCCATCTTCCTCCATTCCTTTCCTCCCCACCAACCTTTCCTCAACCCCTCCTCCCTCCATCCCTTCCTTTCCGACTCCCTGCATCCCTTACTCCTCACATCCATTCACTTCTTCCAATGCTTCCACCCTCTTTCCTTCCTTCCTAGTAATCTGTAGAAATCCAAACACACGTTATGCTGCTCAAGAATTTCCCCTTTCCCTCAGTATCTTCTGTTTATTAAAGAGTTAGCCAACCCAAAAGTGATGCTCCATCTCTAGGTGTCACTCTCGGTTTCTCATTCCTTTCTGTGTCTCCAGTGGTGGGCTCTCCTTCCATAGTTCCTAGTTGCATTCCTACATATCTTGCCATCATTGATGTTCCCTTCCTTCCTGTTGCATTCTCCACATTATGAAATTATTTAAAAATCCAACCGGTAGATCTCACCAGTGGGAGGTTTAAGAACCATTCAATGATATAATTAAAAAAAAAAAAAAAAAACTGGTCATCTGTTTTGGGCGGGTTGACTCATTCACATTTATCCCCCGTGTTTCCATCTTCTGAGAACCATGCTTTTTGTTCTAACAGATTCATTGCTTGGAGGCTCACAGGACACCATTTCTCCATTATCAGATTGTATGACTGAAGAATATGGTATTGGTAATCATTCCCCGACTGCGAAATTGTACTCCCCGGAGAAGATAGGAGTCACCCACGCTTTAGAGATCATCGCTGAGGCACCAACTCCATATGAAGAAGAAGATCTTCCTCAATGTGACTTCACTCCACCCACAGATATAAAGGATGAGACCTGCCCAAGTGAAAAAGTCAATGGTCCTCTAGACCATTTGTTGGGTCACATTAAAGAGGAAGAAGAAGGCCTCATCAATGTTTCCTGTATTAAAGAGGACATGACCAGGGAAGTAGAACTTCTCCAACACTTGGACACTTCTACGGCCACCAAAAGTGTGCAGAGTCATATTAAGGAAGAGTCAGCTTCTAGCAATGGAGTAACCCATGGATCACCAGCAGATCTTGTACATGGATCGGTCCACGTAAAAGAGGAAACCATGCCAGGTGATGAAGAGAATTTGAGTGATACCTATGACTGTGTGACTAGCGACCCTTTAGAATACACCACCTTTGTGATAAAGGAGGAGAACGTCTCTGAAGCTGACTGTGAAAATAACGTAGCTAGCGATCGTGCTCAGAAAACCAAATCTTACGAGGGCAGGTGCAGCCAGAACTACCTGACCAACCCAACCATCGAGAAGCCATTCTCATGTTCGGATTGTGGGAAGCGATTCCAGCATCGATCCAAGCTGATCAGCCACCAGAGGGGTCACACGGGTGAAAAACCCTTCTCCTGCACGGTATGCAGCAAGTCCTTTAACTGTAAGACGGACTGCCAGACACACGAGCGCATTCACACGGGAGAGAGGCCGTACTCCTGCTTAGAGTGCGGAAAGAGCTTCAACGTCAAGTCCAATCTGGTGACCCACCGGCGGATCCACACTGGGGAGAAGCCTTATGCCTGTTTCGGAGTGCGGGAAATGCTTCATCAGTAACTCCAACTTGGTGACCCACCAGCGGATACACACTGGGGAGAAACCGTACGCCTGCCCGGACTGCGGACGCTGTTTCAGCAACAAGTCGGAGTTCAACCGGCACCAACGGAGTCACTCCGGGGAGAAGCCTTACCTGTGTACAGAGTGCGGCAAATGCTTTATCAGCAAGGCTGAGCTGAACAGCCATGGGAGGATTCACTCAGGCAACAAACCCTACTCCTGCCAGGAGTGCGGCAAGACCTTTAGCCGGAAGACGCAGTTCGTGACGCACCAGTGGATCCACACGGGGGAGAAGCAGTACTCATGCTCCGATTGCGGCAAACACTTCAGCAGCAAATCAAACCTGGTGACCCACCACAAGATCCACTCGGGCCAAAAGCAGTACGTCTGCCCCACCTGTGGCAAGTGCTTCATCAACAGCTCCAACCTGGCCCTACACACCGGAAGATCCATTCTGGCGACCGGCCCTTCTCCTGCTCCGAGTGCGACAAGTGCTTCATCACCAACTCTCAGCTGGTGGCGCACCACCGGAGCCACACCGGGGAGAAGCCTTATGCCTGCTTGGAGTGCGGGAAACACTTCAGCAGCAGCTCGGAGTGTAGCCGGCACAAGAGGGTCCACACCGGGGAAAGGCCGTACGCCTGCTCGCAGTGTGATAAGAGCTACATCTGCAAGTCCAACCTCGTCATCCACCTGAGGACTCATACGGGGGAGAAGCCGTTTTCCTGCTCTCGAGTGTGACAAGGCTTTTATTAGCAACTCCGACCTGATTAAACATCAGAGGATCCACACACGATAGATGAGATTGGGAATCGGTAGGGTGGAATACTCAGAACGGTGCTGGCTCTATTTTTGGTGGGGTGAATGGGACTTTTGGTCTCCTAGCATTGGGAAAGTTGAGATATTTCGAGTGAAACGCTATAGTCTTCTTATCAGGAAGCACTTCAGGTCACCATTGTTATGGCTACACCGCTGGTGGCCATTGGCATAGCTTATCAGGAGGTCTATGGTCCCAGGCTTGGCAGTGGAGCCCACGCAACACCCAACATGGCACCTCCATGCTATCGTCTTCCCTCTCGCTCTGGAGATGTGTAGGTATAGAAACTCCGAACCCTCTGCTATTGTGTAAGAGCTGGGTGGTGGGGGGGCGAAGCAGATGGGAGAAAGTTAATTCAGTAGGTGAAGGTCCACTTTAAATCATCAAAACCACTGCTGCCAAGTGAACTCTATTAATCAAAGGACTCATTTTGGGTGCCAAGTTCCAAAAAATTTTTTTCCATTTATTTAACCCCTTGCCTGCCGGGCACTTTCACCCCCTTCCTGCCCGGGCCAATTTTCAGCTTTCAGCACCGTCGCACTTTGAATGACAATTGCGCGGTCATACAACACTATACACATATGAATTTTTTAGCATTTTTTTGAGACAGATAAAACTTTATTTCGGTGGTCTTTATTCACCACTGGGATTTTTTTTTTTTTTTTGCTATATAAATGAAAAAGTCCAAAAATTTTGAAAAAAAGTGTTTTTCTTATAAAACTTTGCAAATAAATAATCTTTCTTTATAAATCTTGGCCAAAATGTATTCAGTTATCTTTTTAGCAAAAAAAAAAACCTCAAATTAGTTTATAACCAAAAATTATAATGTTTCTAATTTTGTTTACATTTTTATTTAATTTTTTTATATTATTATTTATATTTGTTGTGTTTTTTTTTTTACATACTGTCACCCTAGCAGTACAGTGTCACCATGGTGACACTGTACTACTTGTGGGTGTTTATGAAGATTTTTTTTTTTACGCTGATTGCTTTTACACCCATAAAGGCTGTAAAAGCAATCATCGGTCGTGCAACACTGTACCCAAACAAAATGTTTATCATTTTTTTGAGACAGATAGAGCTTTCTTTTGTGGCATTTAATCACCTCTAAAAATGACTGAAAATTTTGTAAAAAAAAAGGTTTTTTTTAGTTTCTGTTATAAAACTTTGTAAATAGGTAATTTTTCTCTTTCACTGATGTGCGATAATGAGGCTGCAGTGTTGGGCACTGATAGGCTGCACTGATGGGCACTGATAGGTGGCACTGATGAGGAGGTACTGTTAGGCTGCAGTGATGGGCACTGATAGGTGGCGCTGATGAGGTGGCATTGATAGGCGGCACTGATGGCATTGACAGGCATCACTGATGGGCACTGAAAGGCAGCACTCATACAGTATATGGCACTGAAAGGCAGCACTCATACAGTATATGGCACTGAAAGGCAGCACTCATATATGGCACTGATAGGCAGCACTGACTGGCACTGATAGGCGGCACTGATTGGAACTACTAGGCAGTACTGATGGGCACTGATAGGTGGCACTGACGAACACTGATAGGCGGCACTGACTGGCACTGATAGGCGGCACTGACTGGCACTGATTGGAACTGTTAGGCGGTACTGATGGGCACTGATAGGCGGCAGTGACGAACACTGATAGGCAGTACTGACTGGCACTAATAGGCAGCACTGATGGACACTGATAGGCAGCACTGGCTGGCACTGAAAGGCAGCTCTGATGGGCACCTGTATGTGGCATTGATGTTCACTGATGGGCACCTGTATGTGGCATAGATGTGCACTGATATGTGACATTGATGTCCACTGATGGGCACCTGTATGTGGCATTGATGTGCACTGATATGTGGCATTGATGTCCACTGATGGGCACCTGTATGTGGCATTGATGGGCACCTGTATGTGGCATTGATGGGCACTAACAGGGGGCAATGATGGGCACTGATAGGTGGTACTGATGGGGCTACACTGATAATAAGTGCCCTGATGATCACTGTACAAGCAAATCGAGGGACCAGCAGTTTCTGAGAAGAGGCTCCTTATGGCTGCCTAGGTGACGGCAAGAGCAGTATTTTAAAACTAATACTAGCAGATTTAGATACACTAACAAATTGAAGCCAAACTCCAGCTCTGACAGCAGTTACAAATGTAGTTACGGTAACAGTTTTTTTTTCCTTTTGGGATAAAGGTTTTACACGAATAAATAAAATCTGATCGTTCTAAGCAGCCCTGTCAGTGGTTAATGGTTTGTCTCAACCCTCTAACTGATACATCTGCAGAAGAGCTTGTTCTGTCGAAAAGCCACAGACTTACCGGCTGGATCACCAGATAATAAAAAAAGAAAACTAATGCAGCCATCACATCTAAGAATTGGTAAGCTGCAATACAATTATTATTATTATACAGGATTTATGGCGCCAACGGTTTGCTCAGCGCTTTACAATATAACGGGAGACAATACAGCAACAATACAGTTCAATACAAGAGGGATAGGAGGGCCCTGATCCTGGGAGCTTACAATCTAAGGGATAAAATGTTTGCTTTTGGGTTTATTACTGCTTTAATACCTAGGCCTGGTACATTCCCTAATTCCAAAACCTTTCATGCCGCGCTATTAAAAAAAAAAAAAAAAAAAAAGTAGTAGTGTATACTATAGAAAATATTCATTAACCACCTCCTGTCCGGCCGTTGTATATAAACGGCCGAACGATGGCAGTGCAGGATCGGGTGCCCGTTTATAAACGGCCTCCCCGCCACCTGCTTGTGCGTGCTACCTGGGAGAGCGCAGCACCGCGATCCGGTGCCCACTCTGAGCTCCGGACACAGTGGAACACCGATCGTCGTACAAGACCTCTGTGCGAGGTCCCGATCATGTGATCACTGATTGGCCAATCAGTGATCACAGGCAGAGTTTTTCACTTCTGACATCATTGCTTTCTACGTGTGAAATCTGTGAATGATCACAGAGATCACATGGTACAGGGCTATTCACAACATCCTTGTACCATGTGACAAGCTGTGACCAATCACAGCTCACATAGTATTTCTCAATGGCTGCAAGAATGCAGCCAGAGAGAAGGAGGAATGATTGTTTTTACAACCTTTATGGGTGTAAAAGCAGTCAGTGTAAAAAAAAAAAAAATCTTCATCACCCCCCACAAGTAGTACAGGGTCACTATGGTGACACTGTACTGCTAGGGTGACAGTATGTAAAAAAAACAAAACATAAATAATAATATAAAAAAATAAAATAAAAATGTAAAAAATGTTTTTTTAAAATATAATTTTTGGTTATAAACTAATTTGGGTTATTTTTTTTTTTACTAAAAAGATAACGGAATAAATTTTGGCCAAGATTTATGATGAAATATTATTTTATTTGCAGAATTTTATAAGAAAAACACTTTTTTTCCAAATTTTTGGAATTTTCATTTATATAGCAAAAAAAATATAAATCGCAGCAGTGAAGAAACACCACCAAAATAAAGCTTTATCTGTCTCCAAAAAATGCTAAAAAATTCTTATGGGTACAGTGTTGCATGACCACGCAATTGCCATTCAAAGTGTGATAGCGCTGAAAGCTGAAAATTGGCCTGGACAGGAAGAGGGTAAAAAGTGTCCGGACTGAAAAGGGGGGAAAGTGTAAAGACCAGGGGCGGACTCACAACTCATGGGGCCTCCGGGCAATAGGGGATCATGGGGCCCCTGTGTCCTTGCCCAAACTCAAAAAAGCCTATGAAAAAGGTACCAGGGGCATCTCATGGGGCCCCCTACTGACCCCGGGCCCTCGGGCAGTGCCCGAGTTTCCAAATGGTCAGTCCGCCCCTGGTCCAGACTGAAAGTGGGGGAAAGCGTCCGGACTGGAAGGGGGTAAAAGTGTCCGGACTGGAACGGGGGGGGGGGGGAAGTGTCCGGACTGGAAAGGGGGTGAAAGTGTCTGAACTGGAAGGGGGTAAAAGTGCCCAGACTGAAAGGGGGGGAAAGTGTCTGGACTGGAAGTGGGGGGAAAGTGTCCGGACTGGAAGGGGGTGCAAGTGTCCGGACTGGAAGTGGTTAAAAAAAAAAAGTGTATACTCACCCTTTAAAAGTATGGGTATAGACAATATTCATTAAAATGGCTAGGAGGCTGTGGGGTGGGGCTGGGTATCATTGTGGGAGATAGGGGTTCTGGATGTTGTCAGGGGATTCTGCAGAAGACTTGGTGTCCCTATAGGAGATGAGATTTCTGGAGGTAGTTGGGGGCAATACTTTGATTGTCAGGGCCATCCAATAGCCATAGTGTGGTATTTTCCTGATCGATATAGAAAAAAAAAAAGGCAACCGAATGCCTGAACTCCTGCGCTGGACAGTGGACTCCACAATGTCTGTATCCCCACAGGGAGTATAGAAGGAATGCAAGCTTTGCTGTCCTCAACGGACCAGGGAAATCTAAAAAGAACTGTATATGAAGAAACAAAAAGAGGGTGCACGGGCCTAGTGTATTACCTTTTAACCACTTGCCGACCGGCCGTTGTATATAAACGACCGGACGGTGGCAGTCCAGGGGCGGGTTGCCGTTCATAAACTCCGGACACAGTGGAACACCGTTCGTCGGACAGGACCTCTGTGTGAGGTCCCGATCATGTGATCACTGATTGGCCAATCAGTGATTACATGCAGAGTAGTAAATAAGATGTCACTTCTGACATCATTGCTTACTACGTGTGAAACCTGTGAATGATCACAGAGATCACATGGTACAGGGCCATTCACAACAGCCTTGTACCATGTGACAAGCTGTGACCAATCAGCTCACACAGTATTTCTCAATGGCTGCAAGAATGCAGCCAGAGAGAAGGACAAATGATTGCTTTTACAGCCTTTATGGGTGTAAAAAGCAATCAGTGTACCTTTTAA